AGCCAGATGGGAGTTCAGGAAGTGACACATTAACCCCTTGTGGGCCATATGCAGCCAATGGTCTGTCAGTTGGACAGCTTTGGTCTACATGATCAGTCGTGGGCTGGCCAGGATTGGAAGCCAAGCACATCGAGCTTCCAATGAGGTAAAGGAGAGGATTGAGTTCTCTTAGAGAAGTGCATTTGTCCATAATGGGCCCTTCACTGCAGCAGAGGCACTTATTGTATCTTTCATTTGGAACAATTTCTATCTACAGGTCAAGCCGTTCTTAACATCTGAGGAATTATGCCTGGCTATCCAGTACTGGAGTTCCACTCCAGGAGCTAAATAAATAAAACCACTTTCCTACAGGGGAGAACAAAGGAAATGCTTTCAAAGCTGTGATTATTTACTAATAACTAACTGTTTATGCAAGAAAGGCAGCTACTAACCAGTAACAGAAACAGAGAGCATGAGGCACCTCAGGACCCACAGGTGGTAAGGAGGAATGAAGGTGTTGGAGTGACCCTTCCCACTATACCCTGTGTTGGAGGCATGAAGACATTCAGGGCACATGCCCTACTCCAGCTGACCCTGCTGATCAAAACTGTCCACTAGACTGAGAGGCGCCCACACACACACACACACACACACACACACATACACACACACACACACACATACACACACTGTCCACTAGACTGAGAGGCGCCTACACACACACACACACACACACACACACACACACACTCTCTCTCTCTCTCTCTCTCTCTCTCTCTCTCTCTATTGCAGTGTATGCATACAGGCCCTCTCAAAGAAAACATGCTGAATTTCCGCCACTGAAAAAAGTCCAAGATATCTTCCATCCCTTCATTCCCAAACATTTAAAACAGTGGTGCTCAATCTGTCTTGCAACTGGACCGAACCTTAAAATCAGAAATAGACCAAGGGCCACGTTATAGTTCTATACTTGGGCATATCCTAATGTGACATAATTTAAGTAATATTAGAAAAAAAACATACATTTTAGTAATGTTAGGCTTATTAATATATAGTAAGAAGTGCAGTATCCATAGTATTATTTTAGGCTTCATAAAAATAAGGAAACTTTAGAATCATTGCAAAAAATAATAAAACCAACCACAATAATTCAAGAACTATTTCAGATGATAGATGAAAATTACCCAGCTAGCAGCAGTGTACCACACGCTCAACTTCCTGCAATTTCCACTGGCCAGTGTCTCCTGAAGAGAGAGCAATGTGCTTCGGGAACAAGTAGCAGTAGGACCATGCTCTGCCCCAGAGCAGTGGGTCTCTCTCTGAAATAACCTTTTTCAGGTGCTGTAGCCAGCCCTGTGCTGTGCCAGAGCTCTGTGGGTGTTGGTGTGGGGTGCTGCCAAGGGAAGGTCTCCATGCCCTGTCCTGTTCCAGCTGCCCAGTTCTTACAGGATCCAGAGCCCAGGAGCTGAGCATCTCTTCTGTCATCTTGCCCTCTTCCTTCCCCACACCGTCACTGAATTCAGCGGTAGGGAAAAGAGGGGATGAGCAGCAGTGGCGGTGCTCAGGTCCAGGGCTGAAGACCTGCTTGAAAGCTCTGAGCTTCCTGCCAAGTTACAGCAGGCTCTGGATGGAGCCACAGCTTTTGTTCAGCTCTGAAGCCCAGGAGATGAGAGTCACTGCTACTACTCTCCTCTTTCCCTCCCCCACCAAATTCAGAGACAGAGAAAAGAGGGGACAAGCAGGAGCAACAGGTCTCAGCTCCTGGGCTCAGGAGCTGCACAAAAGCTGTGGCTCTAGCCAAAGTCCACACTGACAGGTCAATGAGCCGAGAGCTTTCATGCAGCTCTAAAGCCCAGGAACTGAGTGCTGCCACTGTTGTTTGTCCCCTTCTTTACCCTGTCACTGAGTTTGGTGTGGGAGAAGGGGAGGAGGAGGTGAATGGTAGCTGTGCTCAGCTCCTGGGATCTGGAGCTTCATGAAAGCTCTGAGCTGGCTGGCATGGCAGTGGGGGCGACACTGCTGCTGCTCATACCTTCCTTTCCCATTACTGAATTCAGGGCACTTTTACCTGTTGGTGATGGATCAGTCACACCAACTTTACCAGGTACATCTGGGCTATGCAGAGTTTGAATACCACTCATCTGAACCAATCCTCCTATCATGCCACTCTGATTGTATCTTCTTTAAATCTCTTCAGTGGCTCTCCAATCCTCCACAACATCAAAGTTCTCTCACAGTCAACAAACTTGTCTGTATAATTTAGCTCTATCCTATCTATTCAAACTTTTATCTTATTACAAGATCAAGGTCAACTAGATCAGCCACTTCGTTAACAGGCATTTTCACACTTTCTCCCATGCTGCCTTTTACAAGAGGGAAAAGCTTCCAACTAAAATCCATAAAGCCTCCATTTTATCCTGTTTAAGTCCCTCCTCAAAATCCTTCTTTTCTTTTTTCCATATAGGAAACAGCAATCCAGAAGTGCCTAGACAGGACACAAGTTTTTATTTCCTTGGTGGGCGAAAACATGTGTATATATCTTTTTTGTTACTGTCTCTGATTGCCACCCTGATCCACTTTTTTCTGTTATCTACTTCTTATGTCTTGTCTCTTAGGGTGTAAGTTCATATGGGCAGGGACTTGTACTTTCTACATATTTATACAGTTTCTAGCACAAGAAAACCCCAATCCAATTGACTCATAAGTACTACTGCACCATAATGTGAGATATCAATTCTAACTGATAATTTATTACTATGCCACCCAAAATATACTGGCACTTTATAAATGAAAAGTGCCTGCCCTGAAGATTTTACATAAACTGAAAGCATACTAGAATGCAACTGAATGTGTAGGGAAAGGAAGCAAATACCTGACAAGGAGATACCTAGATGAGGATGGACAAGGCAGGGTACCAAAATTAATGCTGGGATAGAAAAGCACAGGGAAGAGTTTAGAAATACATACTTGGGTGCAGGGATTCAAGGAATGGAGAGAACGAAATATTGAGCAGAGAACAGGATTTGAAATGGTAGTGGAGGATGGCAACAGGCTGTGAGGAGGAGAAATGTTTCGAAGGAAGGAGGAATGGAAAACAAATCAAGTTGGAAGAGGAAAACAAATTCACTAGGAAGGACTGCAGTCAGTGAAGAGTGACTTGTAAACTGAGGAACTGCTACTCCTCCTAGCCAAGGAAGAAAGCTGTCTACTGTTTTTCTTTACTTTCTCTTCTTGCCAGCCATCATTATGTTTATTCTGATTCTGAAGAATATCTTTCTGCCTGACATTCCATTTTCTCTTAGCTGTTTTTTTCTTGTAAATGTTGAGATCAGAGAATAAAGTAGTGACAAGAGAGGGGAAAAGTCAAAGAAAACAGTTCCTTATTTTCCCTCCAGGAGGGCCTCAAGAGCTGTTAACAGGACTTCCAAGTTATCATGATTGTTATCCTGGTTGTTACAAGGGTGATATGAATAAGACAAGCAGAAATATCTTGTAGATGCAAAAGAAGGAAGGTATACAATTTTAAAAGTTCTTACTAAGGTAGTTCCTAACATGACGCATTAAAATCAGATTAGGACTATGGAATTCCTCTCCATTGTACAAAGGGATGCTTATAAAGACAGTAAGAATATGAAACCTGAGGACTATTTAGCCAAAAGCCTATATCTAAGCCTAGATGACAGCTTAGAAATAGGTTGTTGAGAATGCTGTAGGATAATATTAATATAGTTGCTTATTACAGTAGCACCAAGCAAAGAATATCAGTACTGGTACAAGTTCATATATTAAATATGGATTCATCATCTGCTATATTCATTCAAAAGCCTTATTTCCCCAATCTCCAGTGACTTTTTTTTTAAACATGTCCTGTCATGTCTGAAATACAGAAGCATTACATGCTTGATTGATGGTTTTGATTACCATCTGTCTATGGAGACAAAAAGGTGAAAATCAAAGTGCAAAACCACAGGGCCTCTGTCAACAAGACTAATGATATAATGTCTAAAGAACTTTTACCAAGAATTAATGAGAAAGTAGCCTACTATTCAATGAGATATGAGCTAATAAGATAGTACAAGCCTCGATAACCAGCCGGAGCTGGGTCTCACTAACCTGCAGCTATGAACATAATACATTATGGTCTTCCGATGTCACCTTTGCACATTCTTCCTTGAAACCAAGGTTCAATTTTTGGGGGGTGAGAAAAATAATAAATCATCTTGCTAGAGCCTGAACTATAGCACGCCTATCTAAACTGGCCACTACTGTCCAAAATCTGGGCTTGTCATATCAAATACTACCTTTTTTTCTAAGCACACAACAGTAGAATTTAAGAGAAGCTATAAACAATTAAAGCAAAATATGAAGGAATTAACACATATGATACATCATGTTGATACATGCATCACTGAGAAACATAATGCAATGTAAGTTGATGAGGAAAAGGTTACCAAGATTCTACAACTCCAGGGATAATGTTGGGGGATTATTTTAATTGGGCTGGGTAATTTGAATATGTGAGATTATGAGTCTGCTGAATCAGAAACTCAAGTTTCAGAGCAATGAGCCTCTTGGCAGCCAAATGATGCAAACTCATTGACACAACCCACATTATCTTAATCCTAGAATAAATATTCTGGCTAAAAATCCTGTTAATTTCTGTGTCCTACACAGAATATGCTCAGTTGCACTTAAAATTATATATATATACACATATACGTACATATATATACATACATACATATATATATACATCTATATATACACATATACATACATATATATATACACACATATACATACATATATATATACACATATACATATATATATATATATATATATATATATTACACAT